CCTCTCCCTTCCGCTCTCTCTAAAAATCAATAGAAACATATGCTTTTTAAAAAACCTGCCTCAGACTGAGCTTTCTGGGGTCCTCTCCTTCGGAAGTACCCATGAAGCATAGTAACCTCCATCTTGGGTAACAACTGCTGTTTAAAATTTTAACCCTGCCATCCTGGCTTCTGTAAACATTTGCTTCCTTAAATAATAGGGAAAATAAGACTACTCCCATTCCAGAGACGCCATCAACTATGCCCCAGACAGAGTTGTCAGTGCTGGCGCCAGGCCAGGCCTTGAGATATGGTCTCACGGCCCTGTCCCAGCACACAGGACTTTTTCTCAGAAGGTCCGGAAGTCTCAGTCCAAATTTGGAAAACAAAGAGCTGAAAAACATATAAATTGAAAAGACTTCCACCATATTGGGCCCCAGAATTTGAGAAGCAAGAGTTCCTCTGGGCCGGCTAGGGCTAGCGAAAATGAACGAGACTCCAAATAAATTTGGCTTATTGATTAAGGCATCTTCTGATTACAGTATAACACCTAGAGCCTCCTGCACAGTTAGGAGAGACACAGGGCGGGGCATGTCCTCCCCCTGCACCCTGAGTTCACAGCCTGCAATGGGCGGTTTCTCCAGCCCTTGCTCACCTCTGCACAGGCTCCCGCCTCTCCGGAGTCGTATACAGGGCACTTTCCTAGTGACTCCCCCACCATGATGTGGGATTAATTCTTTTTTTTTTTTTTAATTAAATCTTTATTGTTCAGATTATTACATTTGTTCCTCTTTTTTCCCCCCATAACTCCCCTCCTCCCAGTTCCCACCCCACCCTCCGCCCTCACTCCCCACCCACTGTCCTCATCCATAGGTGCACGATTTTTGTCCGGTCTCTTCCCGCATCCCCTACACCCCTTCCCCCCCCCCCCCCCCAAGAATAGTCAGTCCACTCCCTTTCTATGCCCCTGATTCTATTATAATCACCAGTTCATTCTGTTCATCAGATTATTTATTCACTTAATTCTTTGATTCACTTGCTGATAGATGCATATTTGTTGTTCATAATTTGTATCTTTACCTTTTTCTTCTTCCTCCTCTTCTTAAAGGATACCTTTCAGCATTTCATATAATCCTGGTTTGGTGGTGATGAACTCCTTTAGCTTTTCCTTATCTGTGAAGCTCTTTATCTGACCTTCAAATCTGAATGATAGCTTTGCTGGATAAAGTAATCTTGGTTGTAGGTTCTTGGTGTTCATCACTTTGAATATTTCTTGCCACTCCCTTCTGGCCTGCAAAGTTTCTATTGAGAAATCAGCTGACAGTCGTATGGGTATTCCCTTGTAGGTAACTGGGTTTCTTTCTCTTGCTGCTTTTAAGATTCTCTCTTTGTCTTTTGCTCTTGGCATTTTAATTGTGATGTGTCTTGGTGTGGTCCTCTTTGGATTCCTTTTGTTTGGGGTTCTCTGTGCTTCCTGGACTTGTAGGTCTATTTCTTTCCCCAGATGGCGGCATAGGTAAACACCAGAGATTGCTGCCTTGCACAACCACTTCAAAAATACAACTAAAAGATGGTACAGATATCACCCAGAACCATAGGAAAGCTGGCTGAGGGAAAATTCTACAACTAGAAGGAAAGAGAAAAGCATACCGAGACTCAGAGGAGGCGCAGTACAGAAGTAAAATACTAAGGTGCGGAGGTGCGTGCGGAGCGGGCTGGCGGCTGAGGGTGCAGTTGTCATTTTCAATCGGGAGGGAGTCTCAGGCTCTGGGCTCCAGTTCCAGGTAAATCTCTGGGGACCCAGACTCAAACGGGAGAAGCGGGACTGTCTGGCATCAGTCGGAACTTGAGGGCAGCTTTCTCTCCGAGGTACTTGCAGCGGTCGCTGGGACACTGAGAGGCAGAGCCTCTGGGGACGGGACTGAGAGCAGCCATATCTGCTTGCTCTCACCTGCCATGTTGATCACCTGCCATGTTGATCCCCTGGGACCCGCCCTGCCCAAGCCCTGCACAGAGGCATTTGCTGGTTAGCCTCAGGCAAAGGCTAGATTAGCACCTTCCTAGAGGACAGAAGTTCTCCCACTGCAGACACAGCTGATTCTCACCTGGAGGTCAAATCCCCCCCAGTGTTACCTACAACAATCAAGGCTTAAGTACAGCAAGACGGCGCACAAAGACCACTAGGGGGTGCACCAAGAAAGCATAAAAAATGCGGAGACAAAGAAACAGGACAGAAATGGAGGAAGGCAAAATGCTGGATATAGAGCTCAAAACCACACTTTTAAGGTCTCTCAAGAACTGTCTAGAAGCCGCCGATAAATTTAGTAAGGCCCTCGAAAAGACTGGTGAGACCACTGATAAATATAGTGAGATCCTCAAGAAATCTAATGAGACCCTCGATGTTGTGATAAAGAACCAACTAGAAATTAAGCATACACTGACTGAAATAAAGAATATTATACAGACTCCCAACAGCAGACCAGAGGAGCACAAGAATCAAGTTAAAGACTGGGGAGAATCAAGTTAAAGAATGTGAAGAAGCAAAAAACACCCAACCGGAAAAGCAAAATGAAAAAAGAATCTGAAAATATGAAGATAGTGTAAGGAGCCTCTGGGACAGCTCAAGCATACCAACATCTGAATTATAGGGGTGCCAGAAGATGAGAGAGAGCAAGATATTGAAAACCTATTTGAAGAAATAATTCTTCTTTTCACGAGCCAGCCGGTGTACGCGAGGGTGGAAACCACCTCGCCAGATCGCTCTATGAGTTCACATGTACCAGGCACTTGGTGCCCGCCTGGGGCAATTCTGTTCACTTCTCCGCATCTTGCTTGCCCTCCCCACCCAGGCCCCGCATTTATCACGGAGTAGGCATCTGGCTGACTCTTGGAAAATGGCCCGCGCAGTGCATTCGAGCATGTTTTTATACAGCCCCGGGCTTGTTGCCTCCTTCTCCTCCCAGCCATGTGATTCGGGATGCGTTACTTAGCTACTCAGACCTCAGCTTCCTCAAACCCAAGACAGAAGCATCTCACTGGGGGTTTTTGAAACAGGTGAGAGAGCGAGAGGGTGTAAGTAAAGCCTGATACACAGCATGCGTTCATACAAGGTTAGTTTTTCTCCCCAGGGGGGAAAACCCATAATGGTGCTGGCCCTGGTAGACCTCACAATCTCTCATGCTACAAAACTCCCGTAATCATCACTATTTAGGGAAAGTTAGTGTTTGGAGGGAGGAAAAAAACTCACATACACTTTAATCCATTAGCAAGACAGCGCAGAAGTTTACAATCTACCTTTGATGTGCAATTTGGAGAAGGCGGTCCCAAATACTTGAGGGATCCTCTCTCTCCTTGATGTGATGTTGGAATTTAACTCCCATTAACCGTTATAGGCATAACAAGCCGGCATCCGGGGGGAAATATACCCTCTAGTGCTTAATGAACACAAAATAAAACATTTCCTTTTATCTTCAACATCTACCAGAGTAATTTGAATAATGGCATTCATATTCATGACTCATCAGACCCTTCCACCAGCTCAGTGTTGTCACTAAGGCCCCTATGAAATGCCGATAACTTCACCGAGATCTTTTGGATGATATTATGGTGTGGAAGCTGCTGCTGCAGATGACTCATGGGGTCACAGGTCAATAGAAGGTAAAGAACATTCTACAGCACAGTAGCTGTGTCTTTCTATTCAAACCAATGGCATTTGGTGGCCCCATAGAGCACAAATCACCTTTAATTGAGCAGAGACCCTCTGCCACCGGATAGGATGAAAACAGGACAGCGGCAATAATGAAGGCCGTGAGGATCTGCGGGGGGCCCAGCTGGGGCTAGAAGGACACCTTGGGAGTATAAAAAAGAACTGGGTCTGGGGGGGAAGAGTTTAGGTCAGTGGTTCTCAACCTGTGGGTCGCAACCCCTATGGTGGTCGACTGACCCTTTCACAGGGGTCACCTAAGACCATCCTGCATATCAGATATTTACATTATGATTCATCACAGTAGCAACATTACAGTTATGAAGTAGTAAAGAAAATAATTTTAGGGTTGGGTCACAACATGAGGAGCTATATATAAAGGGCCAGAAGGTTGAGAACCACTGGTTTAAGTTGTGCTATTGTCCAAATGGAAGATGAGAAAACCTCTACGGTGACGCCATCTTTCTCCCTCATTATACCTGTGAGCTCTCTGAGGCATGAGACTGTCTTCTTTTTTTAAAAAAAATATATTTATATTGATTTCAGCAAGAAAGGGAGAGGCCGAGAGGGATAGAAACATCAATGATAAGAGAGGATCATTGGTTGGCTGCCTCCTGAACACAACCCACTGGGATAGAGCCCTGAACCCGGGCATGTACCCTGACCTGGAATCAAACTAGTGACCTCTTGGTTCATGGATCCACAATCAACCACTGAGCCACAACAGCTGGGATATTTCTTCTATGTTTTAGAAAATAAAAAAATAAAAACCTTAAAAGTTTACAAGTAATATGAAACATCTACAATGTGGTGGCACAAAGCTAGGTGCTAAGCACACAAAGGCTTAGGGAGAATCTTGTTTCCTCATGGGCTGATGGATTCAGGTTCGTAGTCACTGGTGGACTTTCTGGTGCTGCTTCAAGTGATCTGATTGTGCAAAACGCCTGTCGCACAGAGTACACAGGCAGGGTCGCTCCTCACTGTGCTTTTTGTTGTGTCTCGTGAGCTCATCTAAACGGGCGAATTCCCATGTGCATCCCTTCACACTGCATTTGTAGGGCCTCTCTCCTGTGTGTTTGCGATTACGGATCTGGAGATGGGAATTCTTTTTTTCTTTTTTCACTGACATTACAAAGTACAGGGGAAAAAGGAAGGGAGAAGGAAACAAAAACCTCTACCAATCCTGCTAATACTGTCTCATGAAACAAGACCACACTGCTTTGTCCCATATTCAATCACTTATATAATAAACCACAAATAAAATCTTCTCTGGAAGATCAGTTGCCTCTCTTAGAGGCGGCAGGGAAACGGGGCCAAAGTGGGGGCAGGAGGCTTTATTCTTTTGGCAGATCCTCTCAGTCATTATAGATATTGCTGCACTGTTAATAAAAATATATATGCTTCTCTGTAAAGCATTAAAAAAAAAAAAGTCCAAAGATAAGATGGCTGAGGTCTCAGCTCAAGCATCTCCAAATACAATGTTGTCCATTCCCTGATCTTTCCATGGGTTATTTCTTGGTTGTTTCCCGGATCAATGCCATTCTCTGTTTGTGAGCCTCTGTGGTGCAAGCTTTTTTGTAGGGTCGGATTTCTTCAGAGCCAAATCCTGAGATGCACGTGTTCCACCGGCGCTTGTAGGTACAGCTGGATGCCCTTCACCTCCAGGGTGCTGGACTCGCGATGCCGAGCAAGCTGGCAGGCTGCCGGCACTGCACTCTCGATAAAACCATCAGCAATCGGCAGCAGCATCTCCTCTACATCTTCATCCAGTTCCTCATTAGGATCCACTTCTCTCACTAAGTCTTGTAATTTCTTCTTGGTCAACACCTGATTGTCTTCAGGGCTGAGACGCCCTCCAGACCCAGGCCTGCCTGGTATCTTTACCACTGTAGTGCTATTGGCCATGGAGCCTTGCGGAGGGGTGCTGGCTGGTTCCGGTTTTATGGCTGATAAATTGGAGAGGTTGATGAGGGCTGAGGGGCCAAACTGGTTCTGCAGAGCTTTGGACTGCAGCTCATAGAGCTTATCGAGATCCTGTTTCTTCCTGGAGGTATGAGGACCAAGACCAATCAAAGGCAGCGGTCTGTCTCCACATGAGGTGCGGAGACTGCCCCAGTGAGACGATCCTCTCGGCCGAGAAAGGAATTCTTTGAATATGATTTCTTACAGTCCTGGTCTGTGCAAATGTAGGGCTTTGAAATGTCAAGATTCTTCTTGAACTGACGTCTCTGGGTTTTGAGTTTTGACTTCTGCTCTTCTAGAGATTGTCCTTGTGTCAAAGGGGAACTTGAACAGTCCAGAAATCCTAGGTATGGCAATGATGGCGATTGACATGGCATCATCAGGGTTCCAGAGAGAGTGTGGTCCTCAGTGAAGGCTCTCATCTGGTCCCCCTTAAGGGTCCCCATCTGACCCCCATCGAGAGTCTTGTCACTGCTGTGTGTTGTCACCTGGCCCCTAGTGAAGGTCTGGTTCCCAGTGAAGGTCAGTGGATAGCCCCCTTTAAGAGCTGTCATCTGGCCCCCACCGCAGGTCATCTGGCCTCCATAACGGGTCTGGTTTCCACTGAAGGTCATCTGGCCTCCATAAGGGGTCTGTTCCCCTCCGAAGGTCATCTGGCCTCCATAAGGGGTCTGGTTTCCACCGAAGGTCATCTGGTCTCCATAAGGGGTCTGGTTTCCACCGAGGGTCATCTGGCCTCCATAAGGGGTCTTCTTGCCAGATAACTGAACTAGATATTCAGCTGTGGGATCCACCATTTCATCGAGCGCGGTCAGGAGCCACTGTGTCTGGAGGTAAGGTGAGCTGGCAAGCAGTTGCTGGGTGCAGGGCCCGGCACTTATGGATCCGCAGCCAGATGCGCTGCGTGCCTATTGGCCCCTTCACTTGCCACGCCCCTCAGGGTGGAGCCCAGTGCTTCGCTGTAATCCACTTAGGGAACATGGATGCATGCATGGCCTGACATTGCTGTTGCAGTCCTTCCCCGTGTTCCCACCATGGGGGGAAGCATTTGACAAGGATTAGCCCACCTCTTCCTCCACACCGTTCTACCTGGTGGACTCTGTGTCTGTCATCAGATGAAGCACAAACTGTGTGAGACTGTCTTCCGCATCTTTGTACCCCCACCTTAGCACAGGCCTTGGTGCACCGGGGCTAACAGACTTGGACCACTCTTTATGTGCCAGGCCCTGTGTTAAGTATTTCCATCAAATCATCTTATTCATTTCTCATTACAAACCTCTGAGGGCAGGAAGTGGTATGGTTTGTCCATTTGTACATTTTAAGGACATGAGATTGATTTTAAAAATTCTAAAACTTGCCCAGGTCACCCAGGAGATGTCAGAGCTGAGCCTGAACCCAGGTCTGTCTTGAGCCAGAGCTGGTGGCCCGAGCTGTGAAATGGTCCTGACCAGCATGAGTCAGGGTGGGTCAGCATGTGCAAAGGCCGTGTGGCTCTTTTAATGACAGAACTAGTGCAGGAAAATTACCACCAAGTGATCTCATGGTTGTGTGTGTGTTTTTCCCTTTAAAATATTATCAGCTATGGGGGGAGTTCAGTAAATCACTCTGAGATGTGTCACACAAGTGAAGAACTTGGTTCTCTGACATCGTTCTTTCTCTCAAGTGCCTTTTCCTTAGAGTTAGACTTACCACCTCAGGGCAATAAGGCGATTTAACACCCCTCAGCTCAGCAGCAGTGCGGGGCGACCAGGCACAGGGGCCGAGTAGAGGTGTGTCCTGCTGTTCAGGAGCTTGCCCACAGCCTGGGCACTGAGCACTGTTCCTTAGGTGGTTATTCTACTTATAGGTTCCCCCAGGGCAGGCAACCCCTCTCCCGTTTGTGTATGAATCGCTACAAAAGGAGCTGGTTTTTCTAAAGGTCCTTCCTCCTCCTCCTCCTCCTCCCCCAACTCCATCTGTCCTTCTGTCTTTTCTTCCTACCTTCCAACCATTACCTACTGCGCATTTGCTAGAGCTTCTAGATTTGGAGGATACGGTGGGCAATACGATGAAGTCCTTGCCCTTGTGCCGCTAACGTTCTGGTGGAGAAGATTTCCTTCCTAGCCAAAACGCCCTGTGCCATAACCACAGGACTCTGAAGAAGAAAACCTGTCTCTAATGACATCCCCGAGGAAGCTAGGTTTTACACACCTGTCAGTACACGGGGTCATTGCTTGAACATGACCCATGAGACAAGCAACAACCACCTTTGACTTTATCAATACCTTGAGCCTGTGCACAGCTCCAAGCACCTCAAGGTTTATGCCACAGAGGGAGGAGAAAACCACCCTCATGTCATCGATAAGGAGAACCAGTGTACAAAACACCAAATGACAGATCTCTGTAGGATTGTCATCCTGAGGACACTTGTCAAGCAGTTGCCCACAGGAGTCATCTCACTTAATTTTTGGGTCAGCATCTTGGCTAAGCCGATTTTATAAATGATTCAAACTATGTCTCAGTGGCAGGAAGTAGAAGCAAGAAACCTTCACAGCGCCAACTCGGGGCAAAGAAGATAAAATCTCTCAGAGCGATGGGTCCCTCCTCACAAGTGAAGGGCACGTGCGAAGGTGTAAACAGGGTGAGCCTGGCTGCTGTCTAAGATGTTATTCACTGAAAGATGCTAGCAGTTTGGGCTCAGGGAAAGGAGGAAAAACAAAGATGCCTGGGAGCTAAAGCCATGCCTATACTTCCTAACTTTGGTTTTATGGAGAAACAATCTACTGAAGTTGAAAGAATCCCCTAAAACTGGGTGTAAGTTGACAACTGGGGTGTTCCAGCTGTTGAATTTACAGCCTTTCAGCTCCAAATCCACCCTTCACGGCCCTGCTTGTGATGCTGGAGGTGGACCTTGGGGACGCCTCCTCCGCCAGGTATCGCATGATGCTGGGATTTGTCAGGGAAGGCAGGTGGGCGCTGCAGGAGCAGGACAGGAGGCGACTTCTCTTCTGGGTTCTGGCACCTTTCCTTTCTTCCTGTTCCTGCAGCACAGAGGACCTGCTGTGGCGCTCACCTGGATCAGTTCAGCATCAGCTTCCAGGTGGTTCTCAGGAGGCCCTAGAGCCCCAGCCAGCTTCCCAGCTGGACCCCAAAGGTGCCCATAGCGTTTATCAGCACCTCACTGCTAGCGGAGGGCTACAGCCAGACTCTCACTAAGGTGGAATCGCCACTTTAAGGGGAGAAGACCCTGGTCCACATGAGTTCCTTCCTTGGGAAGCCTCTCTCAGTCCTAGGCAGTAGCTGCTCCTTGTGTCTGCTCTCCCTGTAATCCTGAGAGTTTCTTAACCCGTCATAGTAACACATCCTCTGCTACTAGTTAATAGTTCTTCCTATTATACTTTCGCTCTTCAAATTACTGGTCATTTCTGTTTTCTGGCTGGCTGGACCTTGATTATGATACTCATATTCAACAGCAGTGTGTATTTATGTTCACCAAAAGGCAAGTACAAGACATTTCTTAGCCCTAGCCAGGTTGGCTCAGAGGATAGAGCATCGGCCTGAAGACCAAAGTGTCCTAGGTTTGATTCTGGTCAAGGGCTGGTACTTTCATTGCAGGCTAATCCCTGGCTCATGCCCTGGTCAGGGCTCACACAGGAGGCAAACAATCGATGTGTTATTCTCACATTGATGCTACTCTCTGTCTTTCCACCTCTCTTCTAATCTCCCTAAAAGTCAATGGGAAAATATTCTCGGGTGAGGATTAAGAAACAAACAAACAAAAATTTCTTAGTGCACTATTCATAATATCCCAAATCACCATCTTCAGAAGAAGTGACACATAAAGTGAGGTAGATTCGTACAAGGTGCATTTATGTCAGTGCTATACAGCAATGCCAATGATTGAACTACAAATACATGTAACAACACAGATGAGCTGACAAACATAATGCTGATTAAAAGCAGGAACCAAAGAAAACATTCTGTATGATTCCATTTATATAAAACTGCCCAAACAGGCAAAGCTAACCTCTAGTGCTAGGAAGAAAAGCAGTTATCCCCAGAGTATGGTGAGCAGCTATAGGGTTAAGCCTCGGACTGACCTGTTGGCAAATTCACAAAGAAGTCCCAGCTTAGAGGGCACAGTCCTCTTAGCATAATTAGGCTTGACCTTATAATGCTCCCTAGATCTTGTCTGGGAAGCTAATGGGCTGAGGGAGGTGCAGGAAGTGCTGCCAAAACAAGTGAAACTCACAAGAACAGTGTAACTATGGTAACCACTACCTTGTTTACCTCTGGCTATAAAATAAAGGCTCAGCTTGCCTCTGGATCTCTCTCTGTGGCCTCAGCCAGGCACAGGGAAGATCCACGGAGAATTCAAGAACCTGGCTATGCTGATCATCTGAATGCAGTCTCCGTGTAAATCATTCTTTGCCAACTCCGTTCACACCTTTGGGAACCTCTGGCCCGCTGGGGCTGGACCCCGGCACCAGAGGGGGTCAGTGATTGGAAGGGGCAAAGGCACTTCTGAGATGATGGTAATGTTCTGTTTCCTGCCAATGCCTTTTTGAGGTTCCCATTTTTAAAAATTCATCAGACTGAAAAATATTACATATTTATTGACTTTGTGAGGTGTGAATTATTTTACTCAACTAAGAAGTCAAGCTCATTTGTTTACTCAACAAAAAGTGTACACACATATTAGATACCAGTCACTATATATGATGCTAAGGATCTAGAGATGAATTAGTTATTCTCGATTCTGGTCCGCCATGGGCATGAGCTAGAGTAGGAGGAAGACTGACATGAAAACAGATAACTACAATGCCCCCTGATTCTGGGAATGGTTTAGGGATGGATGGAGCGCTGGAGCTATAGAGGAAGAAGCTGTGGATGATGCATTGAAAAGCTACACATAGAAAGCTTTTGTGAACAGAAAGTTCCTCCCTTCAGACATAACATTGTCGAAGATTGTCAAATAAGCAGTTGGAAACTTTGATTTAAGACATGAGGAAGATTGGGGCTGTACATATATGTATGTGTAGGTTCACTGTTCCATATGGTGATGGTTGAAGTTGCAGAGATGAGATCACCAATAGAATGTGTTTGGGCAAAAAAGGAAGGGACAGATGATGGAACTCTGAAAGGAGAATTTGAGTGGACGGAGAAGGAAAAGCCTGCAAAGAAAACTAAAAAAAAAAAAAAAAAAGGTAAGCCAGAGAAGTAGAAAGAGAAAGATGGGACTTGTGTCTTATGAGCAGAGGGACAAGAGAATGTCAGAACATTGAGTTTCATTGTCAAAAGCCATTTGCAAGATCAAGTAAGACTGGTACAGTAAGTTCTCACTTAACATCACTGATAGGTTCTTGGAAACTGTGACTTCAAGTGAAACAATGTATGTAATGGCACACACAAGCTAATTAGTAAAATTCTGTGGCACACCAAAAATATATATATATTTTTTGTCAATCTGACAAAAAGAAAACAGGTATAATTTTGGTTCATTCACACCAGACAGCTATTGTTGTGTTGGCTGTTGTCATTTTTAAAAATTTGATAATCTAAAGGAAAAGAGGTTAGTGTCCCGACTAAATAGTCAGGTGCTTCACATTTTCAAAATTCTTGCAGCATACCAGCGTGCTTTTGACGGCACATGGGCTGAAAATCGCTGCCATAGGCTAACTGATACACGCAAGAATTAAGTTGTAATGGCATCTTAGGAACGTTATAACTAAACATTAAATGAAACGATACTCAGAGACCTGCTGTATATGGTTTTGACAAAGAGGTCAGTAGAAGTCAAAATGAAACTATTTTTAAAAATCTGGCTTTGATCAGAATAAAAAAGGCTATGACTATTGTTAGGTTAGGTGGCTCAGGAGGCGGCACAAGAAATAGAGTCCAGTGAATCAGAAAAGAAAGGAAAGGAAAAGGTTTATTTCTGCATCCCCGGGAGACCCACGTACCCCAAGGACAGGGCAGGTGGATTCACACCAACAGGGAGGGGGGAGCTTTTTTAATACTGCAGTTGGGTGAGGGGCGGGGACATGAGCTGAGGAATTCTCTGCCGCAGGGGATGGGCGGGGGTATTCAGAAAGAAGTCAGTATCTGTGTGGGGATATGTGGCTAAAGGGATTAAGGGAGAAGAAGCCGATATCTGTGTCTGGCACGTTGATCTGTGAGAAATTCCAGGGGAAGTCCATTGTCTCATCACATGTCTGCATGTATCTGATCCTGGGCTCTCTCCGACCTAACAACTATAGAGTAGTCTTTAGAGATATTTGGTGGTAAAGTGAAGGAGAAAGGTAAATTACTTTGAGCATGATTGTAGGCTTAGGGGAAGGAGAAAACTAAGCAACTGTTGAGTGGCAGGAGGTCCCAAAGTCAATGGGGTGGGGTAGAGAAGTCTCCAGAGACGATTGTTTTAAAGGTGTCTGCTCTTCTAAGCGAGGTCTACAGACGGGTAGCATCAGCAGCACCTGGGAACTTGCTAGAGATGCAAAATCTCAGGGCAAATTGCAGGTGTAATGAAGCAGAATCCACATTTTCACAAGATCCGCAGGTGATCATAGCTTGTAACCCTCACAACAAGCGGTGAGATGGGCATTACTGCTCCCGTTTTTACCAATAATGAGACTAAGGCTTCAAGAAGTTGCCTGAGATAGCACAGCTGATTAGCAGCTGAGCCAACATTCAATCCCAGCACTTTCTGACTCCCATGCTCCTTTCAAAAGGTAGAAAAGTAAGTTCAGAGGAGTTTTTGCTTCACTCCATTCAGAATTGTTTCAGATGCTAGAACGCCGCCAGCGATCAATCACAGATCTGCAGCTCTAGTGCCGCCGCTGTGTTTGTTGAGACTGGGACGCTCGCATCCCTCTCTGAGCCCTTGGCTTACTCGCCAGAAATCACTCGGCAGGGTTGAACTTCACTTCCCAACAAACCCTGCGGCTTCCTATCGCGAGAGGCATGACGAGAACCTCGCTGCTCTCTCTTCTGGAGTGGAGGGTCCCAGCAGAGGCGGGACACGTCCCAGCACGGCGTAAAGGGCGCGCGGCATCCTGGGATATGTAGTCTGGCTGGAACCAGAGCGCCCCCTCAAATGAATGGGGTCGGGGCTGACAGTGAACTGCAGCTCCTCTGGCCGGGAGCGTTGGCGGCGGCGCCGGCGAAGAGCGGCGCTCCGCGAAGGGACGAAGTTCTGTGCCACCGCCGAGGCAGTGGTCTAGGCGGGCGCTTTCTCCGCGCGCGCTCCCCTTCCCCGCGCCCGCTCTCCGCGGTGGGCTTGGTGTTCGCTGGCTGCTGCAGTAACGTGATCTTCCTGGAGCTCCTGGTCAGGTGAGTGCCCCCCTCGGTTCCCGGGGCTGCACCGAGAAAGCCGGAGGGGCGTCCGCACGCGTCGCGGGGTCGGCTCTGCGCTCCTGGAACCCTGAGAGTCCACTCCTTCATCCTGCGCTCCGCCCGCTGTCCCACCAAATAGTTTCACAGCATCGCTCGCAGAAACACTCGGGGTGTTGCTGACATCACCCCCTTTTCACACACCGGGGGATTGAATCTGGGGAGATTTCTCACGTGACTGGCCTCGGGTTGGCAGGAGCTTGTGGCAGACCCCAAGGTTCCTTTAGCTCTTTTCTCGGGTAATAATGCCACGTTTGGCTACAGCAAAGCTTTTCGACTTATAATGCAGTCTGGTTTTGCACACACTGCAAAGAAAGTGTCATGTGTATTAAAGTGCCTCCAAAGCGTTTGTTTTGCTATCCTTACAGATCAGATGGCCATGAGGACTTTGCTCAAACATTACCTCTCAGTGATGTAGGTGAATCAGTTCTTATTTATGTATATGGTCCGTCTGATTGACCTAAGAGAGCATTTCTAGCTTTAAGATATTAGTCTTTAAATTGGGAGACATGCATTTTGAGACCTAACTTTCTAAATTAAGATTGGGGGAGTGGATAAAAACAGCTGTGGTACATTTATACAGTGGAATACTACTTGGCTGTAAAAAAGAAGAAAATCTGACCTTTTGCAACATCATGGATGGACCTGGGGAGTATTATGCTAAGTCAAATGAGCCAGTCAGAGAAAGACAAATACCATATGATCTCAGGTATATGTGGAATATAATGAACACAAGCATAGGTACATAACAGATTGACAGCTGTCAGAGGGGAGGAGAGTTGAGGGCTGGGTGAAAAAAGGTGAAGGGATTAAGAAAAAAAAAAATATATGACACAAGGCAGGAACAACAGTATGGTGATAGCCAGGTGGAAAGGAGGGGTTGGGAGGTAGAAGTGGGCAAAGAAGAGGTAAGTGGGAACAGAAATGTACTTGACTTTGGGTGGTGAGCGCAGGATGCAGGTGATGTTTTTATTGAGTTGTACACTTGAAACCTGTATGGTTTTATTAACCAGTGTCACCCCAATAAATTCAATTAAAAAAGAAAAAAAGAATGGGGGTGCCAAATGGAAGCTTCCAGTGGTGAGCAGGAGGTACTACACACAGATGTCAAATTTTAATGTTGCACACCTGAAACTTATGCAATGTTAGCTAAAAGAAAGAACGAAAGAAAGAAAGAGAGAGAGAGAGAGAGAGAGAGAAGAAAAGAAAAGAAAAAAGAGAAGAAAAGAAAAGGAAAAAAAGAAAAGAATGGCTTCACCAAAGGGAAACTAGGATGGCATGCAAATAATGTTGAGTAATAATGTGCAATGTTCAGTGGGTGCAAACTGTTACAGAAAAAGCACCAGGTGTCCTGAAAAAGGCTCAGGACTGAAAAATCTCAAAATTATGAACTTCATTCTTGGCTCTGTCATACCCAGGTTGGGTGACCTTTTCAAATCATTTCGCTTCTCTGGACCTCCTCCTCCTGCTGTAAAATGCTATTTATGGCGCTATCTACCATCATGTTTCTGAGTCTACACGTTATCTCCATTGACCCTCAGGACAATCTGTGTCCAGTATAGGTCAAGAATTATAATGTCTGTTTTACTGAAAATGGAACAGTTCCCAAGAAGTTAGATCGTCTTTTACTTCTTGTAAGTGGCAGAGACAAAACTGGAATCCAGGGTATCTAAACTCCTAGTCCAGTGGTTCTCAACCTGTGGGTTGCAAACAATGAAAATACATCCTGCATATCAGATATTTACATTATGATTCATAACAGTAGCAAAATTACTGAAGTAGCAATGAAAATAATTTTACGGTTGGTGGTCACCACAACATGAGGAACTGTATTAAAGGGTTGCGGCATTAGGAAGGTTGAGAACCTGTTAATTTTGAACTTGAGCAGCCTATAGGTTTTGGTCACCCAGTTTCTCATGTGGTGCTCATTAAAAATGTATTTTATTTTCCTGATACCATTGATTAAGCCATTCTGAAGCAACCAGTTTATTTAAGGTAAACTCTGTGTGGGGTTAATTTTTGCAGTTACTGAGCTTAAAATTTTGTTATGCAGACAGTGTTGATAAAGATCTGTCATTTGCCACTCTTTTCTTTTTAAAGGATAAAGTACTTAAAAAAAAAGAGAATAGTTTATTGATTTTTAGAGAGAGAGGAAGAGAGAGAGGAACATCGATATGAAAGTGCAACATCGATCAGCTGCCTCCTGCACGCTCCCCACCGGGGGTCCAGCCCAAAACCTGGGCATGTGCCTTGACCTCGAATCTGACCGGCAGCTTTGTGGTGCACAGGAGGAGGCCCAACGAACTGAGCCACACTGGCCAGAGCCATTTGTCCTTGAGAGTAGGTGGCGAGGGATATAGCAATGTATCCTGCTGTAAGCTGGTCCATTTCAAAGGAAGGTTACTTTGGAAATCATTTTTTTTTAAATGATTTCTGTTCTTTTTTTTTTTTAAAATTTATCTTTATAGTTGAAAGTATTATATATGTCCCCCTTTTTTCCACATTGACCCCCACCCCAGGCCTTCACTGCACTATTGTCTGTGTCCATGGGTTATGCAGATATGCATAGAAGTTCTCTGGTTAATCTCTTCCCACCCTCCACCCCCTCTAACACCCTGCCTTCCCTCTGAGATTTGTCGATTCGTTCCATGCTTCTATGCCTCTGGATCTGTTTTGTTCATCAGTTTATTTTGTTCATTACATTCCACATATGAGTGAGATCACATGATGCTTGTCTTTCTCTGACTGGCTTATTTGGCTTAGTATAATACTCTCCAGGTCCCTCCATGCTATACCAAAGGGTAAGATATCTTTCTTTTTTACTGCTGCATAGTATTCCATGGTGTAAATGTACCACAGCTTTTTTTATCCACTCATCTAACTTAGGCTGTTTCCAGATCTTCGCTATTGTAAATTGTACTGCTCTGAACATAGGGGTACATACATTCTTTCTGATTGGTGTTTCAGGTTTCTTGGGATATATTCCTAGAAGTGGGATCACTGGGTCAAATGGGAGTTCCATTTTTAATTTTTTGAGGAAACTCCATACTGTTTTCCACAGTGGCTACACCAGTCTGCATTCCCACCAGCAGTGTCCTAGGGTTCCCTTTTCTCCATGGCCTCACCAGCACTTGTCCTTTGTTGATTTGTTAATGATAGCCAGTCTGACAGGTGTGAGGTACTACCTCATTGTTGTTTTAATTTGCATCTCTCTGTTGATTAGTGACTGAGCATTTTTTCATGTGTGTCTTAGCCAGCTTTATGTCCTCTTTGGAAAAGTGTCTATTTAGGTCTTTGCCCATTTTTTAATTGGATTATTTGTAAGCAATCTATGAATTTAATGCAATTCCTTTAAAATACCAATGGCATATTTCACTGATCTAGAACAAATATTCCAACATTTATATGGAACCAAAAAAGACCATGAATAGCTGCAGCAATCGTGAGAAAGAAGGACAAAGTGGTAGGGATCACAATACAAGATATCAAGTTATACTACAAAGCCACTGTGCCTCAAAACAGCCTGGTCCTGGCAGAAGAACGGGCATATAGATTAATGGAACAGAACAGAGAACCCAGAAATCGACCCAAGCCATTATGCTCAATTAATATTTGACAAAGGAGGCAAGAGCATATAATGGAGTAAAGATAGTTTCTTCAATAAGTGGTGTTGGGAAAATTGGACAAATACATGCAAAAAAATGAAACTAGGCCACCAACTTACACCATACACAAGAATGAAGTCAAAATGGATAAAAGACTTAAATGTAAGTCATGAAACCATAAAAATTCTGCAAGAAACCATAGGCAGCAAAATATTAGATACCTCTCGTAACATGTTTGCTGATAGATCTCCTAAGCCTTAGGCAAGGGAAACAAAGGAGAAAATAAACAAATGGGACTACATCAAATAAAAAGCTTCTGCACAGCAAAAGAAATCACCAACAAATGAAAAGGGAGCCTACTGCATGGGAGAACATATTTGCCACAGATATATATGGTAAGGGGTTAATTTTCAAACTATTTAAAGGACTCATACAACTTAACAAATGGAAATTGATTTTAAAATATAAAAATGTGATAAAATCAGGCCAGCCAAATAAAGATCAGAGAAGAATATTGTCATATTTGTGTTGAATATGCCATTAAATTAAATCTTCTGAAAGGTTGTGTGAAGTCAGTTACGCTAGCAGCTGAAGGTCCTCTTTACTAGTTATGAGCACTCGGCTAAATTACTTGATCTCCCTAGTCTGTTTGCTCAACAGTAAAAGTGGGGTGGGGAGGTGATGGCTCCACCTGCCTCAAGTGGATTTGAAGGAGATTCACATGCAAAGCCTGAAGCACATTCAGGCTTCCCCTCCCTTCTAACAACTTTTATTTCAGTGCAGGTCTGCCTTGTTTTATGGGTTTGTTCCTGAGAAGTTGTGGATAAATCTAACTTTACGCAATGTTTTCATGCATTATGGAAGCTTCTATTTAGAATGCTTTGAATAATGTGTAAATAAATCGGCACTCATTTATGCCTTTTGTAAATCGAGATTTTTGCATACAGCAATGGGCTTTCATAAGGAGAGGGGGTACATTTATGACTTTAATGAATGGTACATCAGATGAATAGCAGCTTTTTTCCTGATTTGCTTGGGCAACTCATGACTTCTCATGTTACAATAAAATAAGAGCTGGTTGGACTGGATGGTCTTTAAAGTTCTTTCTAGTTTTGGCCTTCTCAGAATTTGTGACTCTGTCTTGGGACATCACAGCTCATAAATCTTTATAGAGCAGGAACTGTGCTTTTTATATGGCTTCCTTGGAACCCTTGGGTGCTGTAATAAATGGCAGGTAGAAACATGGAAATGCTACAGTGAATTGCAGGGAGAAGCGAACATTTTAAATCATTTTTCCCAAATTGGAAAAACAAATGTAGGCTTTTCTTTATGATGTTCATGCCTATATTTAGGATCTAAAATAAAATACAGGCCACAGTGCAGTGTAAAGAGCAGATGTGAATGACTGAGGAGATGTGCATCAGCTCACTGAGTAGGCAAGGTATTGTGTGTTTTACATGAGGAAAATACTCTGAAACATTTTCTTTCCGCCAATTTATTCCAATCAAGTGCCTGGTATTGAATCAAATAGAAAAGTTTCCTAAATCTAGACTATGAGATAACAAAAGGCATAAAATATATGCCCAATTCTTTCTCTTCAAAGTTGCCTTTTTTTAATTTTTATTTTTTTAAATATATTTTATTGATTTTTTACAGAGAGGAAGGGAGAGAGATAGAGAGTTAGAAACATCGATGAGAGAGAAACATCGATCAGCTGCCTCCTGCACATCTCCTACTGGGAATGTGCCCGCAACCCAGGTACAAGCCCTTGACCGAATCGAACCCGGGACCTTTCAGTCCACAGGCCGACGCTCTATCCACTGAGCCAAACCGGCTTCGGCAAAGTTGCCTTTTTTTAAAAATAAAAATTTGCCCTGGCCCACATGGCTCGGTTGGTTGGAGCATCGTTCCATCATGCACTGAAGGGTCATGGGTTCGATTCCTGGTCAGATACATACCCAGGTTGTGGTTTTGATCCCCAGTCAGGGCGCATACGAGAGGCAACCAATCGATGTTTCTCTCTCACGTGTATGTCTCTCTCTAAAATCAATAAAAGCATATCCTCGGGTGAGGATTTAAAAAAATTTTTATATAAAAAGTTAGAATGAAATAAAATAAATTTGGATTCTTGTAAAAGAGAATTCAAAGTCAAAGAAACTGTTTGCAGTTATGACTATAATTCCCAAAAATGAATTTCAACAAAACAAGTGATTTAGGGAAAAGGCTCCTAAGTTTTTACTCCAAAGTTTTAAAATGAATTAAGTTAAAATAAATAATTCCATTGGTATCTACACAACAGTGTGTTCCTAAAAAGCTCTGTAAGTTCATTTTTTAAAAATGGAATCATGTGAGTGCAGTAGGGAAATTTAACAATGCTATGGAAAAAGAGCACGGAGATTAGATTTGGCAAGGGGCTGACTGGATTTGTTGTTGGAGGTGTCCTAAATCCAGATCATGGTTGCTTAAAGTGAGGCACCCCCACGTTCACTCAGGTGCTTGAGTGAAGGCCAGACACTGCCCAGAGAGTAGGGGCACCTTCCTCTAGCCATCCTTCTGTGGCACTGGGTCCTTACTATCTCATACTCCCTCATCCTGTCATCTCGGGGGCAGAGATCAGGTCTCATTCACATGGGAGCTTCCTGGCCGCTAGCCCCTAACTTTACGCACAGTAGGTACTCCCTAATTGTTCTTTAATTGAATCGACCTAGGCTTTTAGTAAAGAGAAATGGGAGGGGGAAAGCCAGGAAGCTTCTTGAGCCCTCGGGCTAAGTCTTGGGCTTGGCACTTTGTGTATATTTTTTTCATTACATCCTCATGACAAGGTTAAAAACATGTCCCTTTTGATTTACAGGTGAGAAGAAAACGGTCAATATAAACATATTTTAAGAGGTTACTATATTCAATTGAAGACCTTCTCATATGCAAGATGTGACATTTTGGTCATCCTAGAGTCCCAGTCTGCCTTTTTCCCTGCTTGGCAGACACTGTGGGAAGTGCTTTTCAGGGACTGGCTTATTTGCTCTGCAGTAAAACCAATGAGATAGTAGGCACTCATACTGTTCCCATTTGAAAGATAAGAAAACTAGATGTAGATAGGGTAATCAACTTCCATGTCACAGGGTAAGTGACAGCTGCGTCTTGCATGTCACTGTGTATTTTTAGCCACTGGAGCGCGGTAATTCTCAACCTTGTGTCAGCACATAAAGATCACCTGTGTGTCTTACAGGCACCCTCACCCCTTCCGGCCTTTCCCCCATACCTACCTTAGGGTTCTCAGCTCTGGCTGCACATGAGAATCAAGTGGGAAGCTTTCAAAAGTACAGGACCTATCCCAGACCAATCCAGTCCGAACTGGGAGGGGAGGCTCCCAGCGCTCATGGTTTTAACGAGCAGCCTAGGTGTGCAGACTGTGCCAAGAACTATCTATGCCGAAACCAGTTTGGCTCAGTGGATAGAGCGTCGGCCTGCGGGCTGAAAGGTCCCGGGTTCGATTCCGGTCAAGGGCATGTACCTGGGTTGCGGGCACTTCCCCAATGGGGGATGTGCAGGAGGCAGCTGATCGATGTTTCTCTCTCATCGATGTTTCTAACTCTCTATCTCTCTCCCTTCCTCTCTGTAAAAAATCAATAAAATATATTGAAAAAAGAAAAAGAACTATCTAGAGCTCAGGTTCCTTCTCTAACTCATAGTGAGGCTAATGGCTTTAATTAGCTCCTTCAATGAGGTAAATGTCGTACATGATTATTTATGGATTCCTGCAGCCTTTAGCTCTGTCCCTTGAACGTAAGAGGTGCTAAAAGAAATCACCGAATTGAATATAAAGCAGTAGTTTTCATAGGCAGTGGAGCCTAAAGAGTAGCAACAGCTCTGCCTCAGATGTCAGCTTAGCTCCGTACAAGAAAGGCGGGTGCTTGGAGCTGTTTATTTTTATGCCTGATGGGTGTATTTTGGAATTTGTATGCTCGGCACTGCTATTCAATATTAAAACCACTAACAGAGGATGGAGTTTTTTGTTTATTTTAAAATAAATAGCGTTGTATTAATATGTAGTAATATAATTACATCCCTCTACTCAGTATCTGTGGGTAAATGCCTTGGGTGAAGGTGAAGATGCAGGCTACGAAGGCTGAATTTTGTAATGTGGGGATGTGGGTAGCATGGGCAACCAGGGAGCTTCAGGAAAACAAAGGCAGCTAGCTGCTCACTTTGACCTTCCTCCAGTGGTTGAGCAGAGCCTCATGGAGGACAAGCTCAAGAAAACGACACACGGTTTGAGTAACTCCTTTCAGCGTGCCTCAGGAGGGATGCCAGAAGGAATTCTCTTGTACATTTCCCCCGAAGTCACCGTGAGATTCCCCATCCCTTACTAGATCACTGAAGAGCTTCGAATGAATTTCATGAACATTCACTGAGCGCCTAATAGTGTTGTATCGTAAATCAGCGAGCTAGACGAGACGCCTTAATGAGCCAATTAGTTGGGAGTCATCTTTATTGCCCGCGGGTTCAGAGCAGAATACCGCTGTCATTCCGAACCCCAAAACATAGAGGAAGTTCTCGCTATTTATACCTTTTGACCTCTTTGCAGATATTACAAAGAGCTCTGTGTAGGTTCTTTTTGCAGACAGTTTGTAACTTTGGATACATAATGAACAAACACTTGGTATGAGAATATGGGAATTATTATCAGTATTCACCTATTACGTTAGACGGCTAGCTTGCAAGGTCAGACAGTTAAGTTTTTATCTTTTTCTATTCAAACTAAAACAGTTATTTTACAGAATAAGGGACTATCTAAAAATAACGGAGTCGGCCTACAGAATAAGAGACTGTCTAAGAATAACAGTAGTTCAAACAGCAGTTTTCTAAAGGAGGAATTACTATGCTTCGGTATATTTGTGTTAAAGGTTGTGGAGAATAAGCAGTGTCCTCATTCTTTTCATTATTGCTTCTTACCCTCTCCCCACCCTCATCTAAAACCCCCTTTTAGACATTTTTTCCTAGACATCCCCCCCAGACACACTGTACATGGGTTTATGTACTGTACATATATCTGTACTTTATACTTACAAAATACTAAGCTTTCTCCCACCCTAAGAACCAGTTTTTGCCCCTATAGAGGAGTGAAGGCAATGTCCCTGGATATGAGTCTTTGACTGACTCTAGTCTTGGAGATTCCTGCTCAGGATATATAAATGTTTCTAGGAGACCTGAGCATGAGCTGTATAGGCTGACTAGGATCCTGAATGAAGTCCTCTTGGTTATGTAAGTGAAGATCTCAAAAAGAACATCTGACTGACCAACTTCCTACAGTTTACTAGGAAGGTTGTGTCATAGTTCCAGGAAGAGTATATCAGAGTGGTCCTTCGTGATGGCCTGGAAGAGTGAAATAAGGCTTGACGTTCTTCTCTGTGAGGTATATTGCTAAATGTATGGGATTCATGGGACATGAAAACTGAGAAGACAGTGGGTAATGGAAATCTATCTCCCTGTTACTCTGAACTGTCAATATAACAGGTCATAGTGGCCTTTATCTCAGTCTTTTGTGCCTTTTTCTTTTTGTCCCTCACTATGCAGGAAGCATCCAGGATGCGGGAACATTGTGACATTTGCGCCATTTTTATTTATTGCTGTGGAAGGCTTCCTCTTTGAAGTCAATTTGGGGAGGAAGCAGCCAGCTATCCCAATAAGGTATGTACATTGACGTCTCTTTTAGCCTTGTTTGTCTTAAAATAACATCGCCTAAGAATCCAGAAACACCAGTCAGAAAGAATATATCCACCCCTGTGTTCATAGCAGTGCAATTTACACTAGCTAAGATTTGTAAACAGCCCCAGTGCCCATCAGCGAGATGAGCAGATAAAAAGGCTGTGGTACCTTACACACTGGAATGCTACACAGCTGTAAGAAAAGAAAGAACTCACCATTTGCAACAGTGGGCATGAACCTGGAGCGTATTATGCGAATCTGAATAAGCCAGTCAGAGAAAGATGAGTACAGTGGGGCCTTGACTTACGAGTGTCCCGACGAAGGAGTTTTTTGAGATACCAGCTGTCTCGGCGGATTTTTTGCATTGAGTTGATAGAGTAATTTGAGTTAACGAGCTCCTGAACGAGCTCGGTCTCAGAATGAATTAAACTCGTAAGTCAAGGCCCCACTGTATCACATTATCTCACTCATTTGTGGAATCTAATGAACAAAATAAACCGATCCAGAGGCACAAAAGCATGCAACAGGCTGACAAACTTCAGAGGGAAAGGGGGGGTGAGGGGTGGAAGGGGAGGATTCACTGGGGAACTTACATGCATTTATGCATAACCCAGGAACACAGACAATAGGGTGGTGACAGCCTGGCAGAGGTGGGTACCGGGTGGAGGGGGTCAATGGGGAAAGAACACAAACAGGACATCTGTAATACTTTCAACGATAAAGAGAAATTTTTTAAAAAATAAGAGCTTTTCTGGTACTTATATAAAAGGAATATGAGACATCTATTTATAAGATTTGTATCAATGGTATTAGTAGAGTTTATATTCATTTTCTGAATTTAATATGTTGTGAAACTCCAGGAGCCTATATTTAGAATAAAATTCCTGCCACAACACTTTAAATAACTGTGATAGAGACAACAGTATATATGTGTGTGTGTGTGTGTGTGTGGTAGGTGGTTAGTTAAAGGCCTAGTGTGATCACCAATTTTTTAAATAGTTATGTACGCTATCCTCATGTTATCACATATGGTAAGAGTGGTCTCATTGTTCCTTTTAAGAAATGAATGGCTTTTGGAAATAGAGGTGGTAGTTGCACAATATTGAGAATGTACTAAATGCCCCTGAATTGTTCACTTTAAAATGGTTGATTTTATGTTATGGGAATTTCACTTCAATTAAAAGAAAGTGACTGGCAAGCTAAGGCAAAATTATTGATTCCAGACCTCTGTCCATTAGTCCATATTTACATAATTGTACTCATGGGGCCAAATAGCAGTTCTTATAATAAACAGTGTATCGAAAACTCAGTATTCTTGCTGTCAGAGACTTGAAATAAATATATAATCCATCCAATTGTGAGTATGTAATAGGATAGTGTCACTTAATCTCTCTGAGGGGGTCCTTCTGGTATGAATGTATTCGGGGACTGGTTAAGGCTCGTCCTTGTTGGTATTACTTTGCAGCATTCCTGAGTAAGCTTACTATAGAAAATCTAGCTGAATTTTGTTATTAATATCATATTTAAAGTTCCCAAATGTGATGCTAAATATTCTGAATACATTTTTGTTTGTTTCTGTTGGCTTTCATATCTCCATAAAATCCTTTGCTCTCAAGACCAGCATGTACATCACGGGAGCTCCAGCATTTTTCATTTCTTTGACCCTTTCTCTCTTTCCATTCTGGCTGCCTGTGTAGTTCAGGAACATATTCCCTTTCCTCTTAACTTTCATAGTAGTTCTAGAGGCCCAGTGCACAACATGCGTGCACTCGGGAGGTGGGGGAAGAGATCCTTCAGCCCAGCCTGTGCCCTTTAGCAGTCTGGGAGCCCCTCAGGGGCCTAAGCTGGCAGCTGGACATCCTTAGCGCTGCCGCGGAGGTGGGAGAGGCTCCCACCACCGCTGCTGTGCTTGCCATCTGTGAGCCTGGCTTCTGGCTGAGCGGCGCTCCCCCTGTGGGAGTGCAGTGACCACCAGGGGGCAGCTCCTGCGTTGAGTGCCTGCCCCCTGGTGGTCAGTGTGCACCATAGCAACCAGTCATTCCATTGTTCGGTCAATTTGCATATTACCCTTTTATTATATAGGATCCTTTCTGCACGGCCTTCCACCTGTCACCGCCTCATCCCCTGTGTCAACTTCTTACCTTTATAGCATGGCACCCTATCTCACAAGTGCTCAGGGGTCACCATTAGGGTCAAAGTGAAGCCCAAACTCCCTAACCTGCCCTTGGAGGCTCACCATAATCCTTCCCTAACAACCGTACTTCATATGTCCCATTTGTGCTGGCTTTTTATTTCCTATCTACGAAGCTGTAATGAAAATCTTGCTCATGTCATTCATTCCTGTGAGCAATTACTGGGCAGTGCTATGTTGGCAACAATGTGGAATATAGTTGGAATTTTTTCCTAAAAGACCTTGATGAACACACTTTATCTTTAAATGGCATCTTTTCAAGACAGGGACTAAAAATTTGGCAAGTCGCCGATAGTGTATGATTTAAAGCAGGGAAACAGCTATTGCCAGTAATTTTTTCATGTGTGTGATACTGTTCTGCATTGATAGGGAAGATAGCTTAGACTTGGTGCTATTGCATTCTGCAGATGTACAAAGATGAAGGATGAGATCCCCGTCCTTCAAAGGTCAGCATTTCATGACGAACATAGAACCCTTTATTTGCCTTTCCCCTGCAATCTTTAGCCATTTATTTTAAGCTAGAGGCCCGGTGCACGGATTGGCGCACAGGGGAGCGGGTTTATCTCAGCCTGGCCTGCGCCCTCTCACACTCAGGGACCCCTCGGGGGATGTAGCAGTGCACCAACTGACAGGTGACCAGGGAGGAGCCTGAGCAGGGGCCCGGTGCCACGCTGCTCGCACTCATCCCGATCCGTTGTGCCTGCCACCTCTGCTCGGTAGCACTGCCGCGGAGTCAGGAGAGGCTCCTGCCACTGAAGCTGCACTCGCCAGCTGTGAGCCTGGCTTCTGGCTGAGCGGCTCTCCCCCTGTGGGAGCGCACTGACAACCAGGGGGAAGCTCCTACGTTGAGTGTCTGTCCCCTGGTGGTCAGTGAGCGTCATAGCGACTGGTCGACCCGTTGTTCTAGTCATTCGGTCATAATGGTCTCTTGGGCTTTTATATATATACTAGAGACCCGGTGCACAAAAATTTGTGCACTTGCGGGGGGGGGGTCCCCTCAGCCCGGCCTGCGCCCATTCACAGTCCAGGACCCCTTAGGAGATGTCCACCTGTCTACTTAGGCCCACTCCCCGGAGGATTAGGCCTAAGCTTGCAGTCAGACATCCTTCTGCAGCCAGGGAGCCCTCGGGGGATGTCCAACTAAAGGCTTAGGCCCCCAAGGGATCAGGTCTAAACCGTTAGTCGGACATTCTTAGTGCTGCTATGGAGGTGGGAGAGGATCCTGCTGCCACCACTGTGCTGGCCAGCCATGAGCCAGCTTCTGGCTGAGTGGCACTCCCCATATGGAAGTGCACTGACCACCAGGGGGCAGCTCCTGCATTGAGCCTCTGCCCCGTGGTGGTCAGTGCGCATCATAGCAACCAGCCATTCTGCCGTTCAGTCAATGTGCATATTAGCCTTTTATTATTATACTAGACGCCGGGTGCACAAAAATTTGTGCACTCGGGGGAAGGGGGGGTCCCTCAGACTGGCCTGTGCCCTCTCGCAGTCTGGGACCCCTCGGGAGATAACGACCTGCTGGCTTAGGCCTGCTCCCAGGTGGCAGAGGGCAGGCCCAATCCCTAGGTGCAGCCCCTGGTCGGGCTCAGAGCAGGGCCGATTGGGGAGCTGGGGCGCCTTCCCCTGTCATGCACAGAGCAGGGCAGATTGGGAGGTTGCGATGCCACCCTCAGTCATGCTCAGGGTAGGGCTGATTGGGGGGTTGGGGCACCGCCCCCTGTCACACTCAAGGCAGGGTCGATGGGGAGGTTGCGGCGCCACCCCCTGTCACGCACAGAGCAGGGCCCATCAGGGGGGTTGGGGCTCCATACCCTGTCATGCACAGAGCAGGGTCAATCAGGGGGTTGGGGAGCTCCCCCCTGTCATGCACAGAGCAGGGCCGATCAGGGGGTTCAGGAGCTCCCCCCTGTCACTCACAGAGTAGGGCCGATAGGGGAGTTGGGGCACCGCCCCCTGTCACAATCAGGGCAGGGCAGGGCGGATCAGGGGGTTGGGGCGCCGCCCTCTATCACCCACAGAGCAGGGCCGATCAGGGGGTTGGGGCGCCGCCACTGTCACAGAGCTGCAGGGCAATCAGGGGGTTTGGGCGCTGCCCCCTGTCACACTGATCCCGGTGCCGGGAGGCCTCTCAGCTCCGCTGATCTCGGTGCTGGGAGGCATATTACCCTTTTACTATATAGGATAGAGGCCTGGTGCATGGGTGGGGCTGGCTGGTTTGCCCTGAAGGGTGTCCTGGATCAGGGTGGGGGTCCCCACTGGGGTGCCTGGCCAGCCTGGGTGAGGGGATGATGGCTGTTTGCAGCTGGTCACACACCCTTCAGGGTGGGGGTCCCCACTGGGGTGCCTGGCCAGTCTGGCTGAGGGGCTGAGGGCTGTTTTCAGGCTGGGACTGAAGCTCCCAACTGCTCCTTCTTTTCTTTTTTTTTTTTTTTTATTCTGGGCCAGCTTTAGCTCTTAGGCCTCCGCTGCTGAAAACAGGTTTCTGGCCTTTGTTTACCATCTGTATTTGATACAATGTTGCGGTCCGGCTGGCTGAAGCCCTGCTGAGTAAAGCAGGTCTCTGGGTTTTTTTAGCTTCTATATTCGCAACATAGTTGCTGAGAGTTGCAGCTGAGAGGCTGGCAAGTCAGGCGGGGGACGTTGGAGTTCTCCGTCACTGAAGCAAGCAAGCCTCCCTGTTCGCATCAGCTGCCTGGCTGCCGGCCGCCATCTTGGCTGCCAGTTAATTTGCATATCTCGACCCTACTCTGTGAGTGACAGGGAGATTAGCCAATGGGAAGGGTAGCGGTCGTACGCCAATTACCATGTTTCTCTTTTATTAGTGTAGATAGGATGTCCCTATTTCCCCCCCTTTGCCCCCTCTACCCAGCTCTTGCCTCCCACTTCTCTCTGGCCATCACCATATCGTTGTCTGTGACCAATGTTGTGCATATATTTTCTTTGGGGCTGGGCTGCCTCACCGTCCGGGGTCTTAAGAGCATTTTTTTTTTTTTTTTCAAATGAACACAGTGAAGAGTCACACACTTTTTTTTTTTTTTTTAACATGAGGCACAAAAAATGATTCTCTTCGTGTGCGCTGTTTTACAGCTACAGATGGCTTCTAGGGAGCAGCCTTGAGGCAGTCACGGCCCCCACCACCTGGGACAGAGGAAGGGGAGGCTGCAAAACGGCCTTGTCCAAGCTCAGACGAATGCCTGCTCTGGGCACTGCCGTGGACGTTCCCTGTGCCTATGGCCTGAAAGCGGGCGGAGCCCTCAAGGGAACCATCTGCCCCAAGCCTTCCATCTTTTCAGGGCTAAAGTCTCACTCTTCCTATCGACCAAGTGTAGCAGCCGCTTAAAATCTAAGGGGTGACCCCAGAACCAAACCTCGTCTGTGCCATGAACGTGAGGCCTGGTTGCCCAGGGGGTGGGCATGACTTTAACAGCCAAGATGAGGGGAAGGGAATAAACTATGTGCAACTACAACATCTGAAGTAATATTTACATTTGAAAACCTGGGCCGGGAAGCTTGGAATGGCGTCGCGGCTGGGCGACCTGCCCTTTTCCTTCACTTGCCTGAAGCCGCACCTCCTCTACCTCGCGCTCCTCTCGCATCCTGAGGGGAACACCCAGCCTCAGCACCATTCTCTCCAGACGTAGCCCCGCCCCGCTCTGAGCCACGTCCCCTCTCCATATGCAAACATGGTGCCACCTTGTGCTTAGCCACGCCCCCTGCCTTTCAGTACAGAAAATGGCGCCTCCCACCTTGGGCTTAAGCCTCCAGGTGAAGAGCTGCCTCCCGCTTCCCCACGCGGGCCGGATCGGGTCCCCGGGCAGCAACGCAGCCCGGCTTCTGGGTCTTCTCTGATCACCGATCACCAGTGATCAGTGATCGGAGAAGCCGAGCCGGGCAGGGAAGAGGCGGCTGCTGGCATCCACCTCTTCCCTTCCCCGCCCGGCTTCTTCGATCACTGGCTGGGGGGGGTGGGCAAAGGCAGCCCGGGTCTCCGATCATGGGCCTGGGGGCCGCCTGGGTTTCCAATCACTGTCAGCAGCAGGCGGCTTCTTCCGTCCTTCCCCTTTCGCCTCCCAGCATTGCACCTACGTATGCAAATTAATCGCCATCTTTGTTGACAGTTAATTTGCATATTGCCCTGATTAGCCAATGGGAATCGTAGCAAAGGTATGGTCAATTACCATGTTTGTCTATTATTAGTGTAGACTAGAAGCCTGGTGCACAAAATTTGTGCAAGGATAGGCCTTCCTTCCCCTGGCTGCCGGCACCGGCTTCCCTCTGGCACCCTTGACTCAGGCTTCTCTTGCATCCCGGCTTTGTCCGGAAGGTCGTCAGGAAGGACGTCCTCTAATTAGCATAGTATGCTTTTATTATTATAGATACTAGAGGCCCAGTGCAAGAAATTCGTGTATGGCTGGGGGTCCCCTCAGCCCAGCCTGCACCCTCTCCATTCCGGGAATATCTGACTGCCGGTTTAGGCCTGATCCCTGGGCCTAAACCGGCAGTTGGACATCTCTCTCACAATTCAGGACCGCTGGCTCCTAACTGCTCACCTGCCTGATTGCCTCTAACTGCCCCCTTTGCTGGCCTGGTCTCCCCCAACTGCCCCTCTCCCCCCCCGCCAGCCTGGTCACCCCTAACTGCCCTCCTGGCCAGCCTGGTCGTCTCTTACTGCCCCCCTCTGCTGGCTTTGTCACCCCTAACTGATCCCCTCTCCCCCCGCCAGCCTGCTCGCCCCAACTGCCTCCTCCCCCGCCAGCCTGGTCGCCCCATGCAGCCCGCTGTTCAGTCATTTGGTCGTCCCTCACTAACCCCCCCTGCCAGCCTGGTCGCCCCATGCAGCCTGCTATTTATTCATTTGGTCGTCCCTCAGTAACCCCCTTGCCGGGCTTGTCGCCCCACACAGTCTGCTTTTCAGTCATTAGTCCGGTTGTTTTGGTTGTGAAAGCCCCTGGCTTTTTATACACTAGGAGATTATATATATATAATTTTTTCACCTATTGAATGTATTGGGTTGAATAAAATGAAATTACTGACATTCAATCCTTTTTGACCTACAAAAGTATGGTCATGTGGTTGAATGTGATATGTATAAAAGGCATCTTAATTTTATTTGGTTTAACCTGGTATGTATGAAAGGCATTGTAAAAGTATTTTGTAGTTCAAAGTGGGGACATACAAATGTAAAATTATTTAATTCATTTGTTTATTTGTATTTATCCCTTTATTTTTCTAAGGTACTAGGGTTACTGGATTTTCTTTTTAGCTTTTGTGTGGTTGTTTTTTATTTAAAGACCTGTAAGTCTTAAAAAGGGGCCCTGGTTTTTAAAAACAAATTTGTACAAGTTAAATGATGTCCTCATTAATTTGGAGGCCACTCCAAATGTGAGATAATTATTAACAGTTGCTAGGCTGAAAGTAACCTTTGACTTAGCAAATATTTTCTTTAGAAATAGTGAAAATTAATAGTATAAACAAGTGTATAGAAGAAGTATTTGAGAGAATTAACCATTTTTAAGTTCTTTAGAGGTATAAGAAAATTATACAAAGAAGTGATACTGTAATAACAATTATTCACTTTGCCCTAACCGGTTTGGCTCAGTGGATAGAGCGTCGGCCTGCGGACTCAAGGGTCTCAGGTTTGATTCCAGTCAAGGGCATGTACCTTGGTTGCAGGCACATCCCCAGTAGGGAGTGTGCAGGAAGCAGCTGATCAATGTTTCTCTCTCATCGAAGTTTCTAACTCTCAATCCCTCTCCCTTCCTCTCTGTAAAAAATCAATAAAATATATTTTTTTTAAAAAAGTCAAAAAAATTATTCACTTTTTGTTTTATTTTTGAAATTAAATATATTGAGGTAGCAATAAATTTGTTATTAATAGCATCATATAAATTTCAGGTATACAAGTTATGACATCTGTATACTCTTTTGTGTGTTCACCACCCGAATCAAATCTTCTGTCACCATATTTTACCCCTTTTACCCTCTTTGTTCTCCCCCCTTACCACTTCCCCTCTGGTAATCACCATTTTGTTGTCTGTTTCTAAGAGTTTGGGGTTTGTTTGTTTTTTCTTATATCCCACATACAGGTGAAATCATACCGTTCTTGTTCTTCTTTGTCTTAATTTCACTTAGCATAAATATTCTGAAGATCCATCCACGTTCTCGCACATGGGAGTATTTCATCTTTTCTTATGACTGAGTAGTAGTCCATTGTTTATATGTACCCCATCTTCTTTATCCAATCATCTGTCAAAGGACACTTAGGTTGTTTCCATATCTTGGATCTTGTGCAGTGAACGTAGGGATATACATATCTTTACAAATAAATGTTTTCCAACTTTTTAGGTAGATACTCAGAAGAGGGATTGCTGGGTCATGTGGTAGCTCTGTTCTTATTATTTTGAGGAACCAGTCCACACTGTTTTTCCATAGTGGTTACATTTCCACCAGTAATGCCAGAGGGTTCCCGTTTCTCCACATCCTTGCCAGCACTTATTTGATTTACTGATATCCATTCTGACAGATGTGAGATGATATTTCATTGTGGTTTTAATTGTCATTTTCCTGACGATTAGTCATTTGTAGCTTTAGATTAGTCATGCTGAGCATCTTTTCATATCTCTGCTGTCCATCTATATGTCCTCTTTAGAGAAATGTCTGTTCAGCCTCAGCTTATTTCTTAATTGGATTGTTTGGTGTTTTTTGTTGTTATTGAGTTGTATGAGTTCTTTATGTATTTTTGGTATCAGCCCTAATCAGAGGTATCATTTGCAAATATCTTCCCCCAGTCAGGTTGGTTGCCTTTTTGTTTTGTTGATGGTTTCTTTTGCTATGTGGAAGCTTTTTCGTTTGATGTACTAGCAGACCCATTCATTTATTTTTGCTTTTATTTCCCATGCCTTTGGGGTTAAGTTCACAAAAGCCCCTCTGAGACCAAAGTCCGCAAGTTTAGTGCCTATGTTTTCTTCTATGTATTTTATTGGTTCAGGTCTTATATTCAAGTCCTTGGTCCATTTTGAGCTAACTTTTGTTTATGGTGTCAAATAGCGGTTTAGTTTCATTCTTTTGGATGTGGCTTTCCAGTTTTCCCAGCACCATTTATTGAAGAGACTTTCTTTTCTCTGCTGTGTGCTTTTGTCTCCTTTGTCAACTATTAGTTGCCTATAGACTAGTATGTGTCAGCTTATTTCTGGGCTCTATTCTGTTCCTTTGGTCTGTGTGTCTCTTTTTCTGATTGTTTTAGCTTTGTAGTATAATTTTAAGACAGGCAGTGTGATACATCAGGCTTTGTCCTTTTTTCTCTAGGTAGCTTTGGCTATTTTAGGGTCTTTTGTGGTTCCACATAGATCTGAGGATTTTTTGTTCTTATTTCTGTGAAAAATACCATTGGGGTTTTGATGGGGATTGTGTTAAATCTGTATATTACTTTAGCTAATGGTCATTTTTAACAGTGTTAATTCTTCCAATCCATGAACATGGAATATCTTTCTATTTCTTTGTGTCTTCTTCAGTTTCTTTCAACAATGTCTTATAGTTTTCAGTGTACAGGTCTTTCACCTCCTTTGTTAAATTTCTTTCTAGGTATTTTATCCTTCTTGTTGCAGTTGTAAATGGGATCGTTTTGTTTCTTTTTCTGGTATTTTGTTGTTTGCATATAGCAGGGGTCCTCAAACTGTGGCCCGTGGGCCACATGCAAATACAAATATTGTATTTGTTCCCGTTTTGTTTTTTTACTTCAAAATAAGATATGTGCAGTGTGCATAGGAATTTGTTAATAGTTTTTTTTTTAAACTATAGTCCAGCCCTCCAACGGTCTGAGGGACAGTGAACTGGCCCCCTGTTTAAAAAGTTTGAGGACCCCTGGCATATAGGAATATAGTGGATTTTTGTATATTGACTTTTGTATCTTGCTGCTTTATTGTATTTGTCATTGTTTCTAATAGTCTTTTGGTGGAGTCTTTAGAACTTTCTATATACAGAATCATGTTGTCTGCAAATAGTGACAGTTCTGTTTCGATACTTTTTATTTTTTTTTCTCCCCTAATTGCTCTGGCTCGCACTTCCAGCACTATGTTGAATAACAGTGGCAAGAATGAGCATTCTTGTTTTGTTCCTGATCTTAGAGAAAAAATGTCCAGTTTTTCACCATTGAATATGGTATTAGCTGAGAGTTTGTCATATATGGCCTTTATTATGTTGAGATACTTTCCTTCTATATCCATTTTATTGAGTATATTAATCATAAGTGGATGTTGTATCTTGTCAAATGCTTTTTCTGCATCTATTTATATGATTATATGATTTTTATCTTTTATTTTGTTAATGTGGTTTATCACATTGATTGATTTGCAAACATTGAGCCATCCTTGCATCCAGGGAATGAACCCTACTTAATCTTTTTTTTTTTTTTCCAATTTGTTTTTACTAGAGGCCTGGTGCACGGATTTGTGCCCTGGTGGGGTCCCTCGGCCTGGCCTGCGGACATCCCCCGAGGAGTCCCAGATTGTGAGAGGGCATAGGCCAGGCCAAGGGACCTCACCAGTGCATGATCGGGGCTGGGGAGGGACCACAGGAGGGCTCCAGGGTGTGTTCGGCCCGCCTTGTCCAGTCCTAATCAGCCAGACCCCAGCAGCAAGCTAACCTACCGGTTGGAATGTCTGCCCCATGATGGTCAGTGCACATCATAGTGACTGATGGAATGGTCGAATGAATGGTCAGACACTTAGCATATTAGGCTTTTATTATATAGGATTGATTTCTGAGAGCGGAAAGGAGAGGAAGTGGGGGATAGAAACATCGATGAGAAATATTGATCTGTTGC